AGGGCTCTGGTGGCTCAAGGGAAAGGACTTGTACTGCCAACAACCCAAAGCTTAAATATTTGAGCTGCTCCAGAACAAAGAGGGGCAATTTACAGGTTTGAACGGACTACAATCTGCATCTCTGAAAAATCACTGGAGGGTCAGCTGTGAGTGAGTTCGCTGTGAGTGAGTTCGGAATCAAAAGCACGTATCAGTCGAGTCTAAACCAGAGGGAATCAACAAGACAAAAGGTAGAACTACCCTCATATGGTTTCCTAGGCTATAATCTTTGCAGAAAGAGTCCTGTTGGTACAGTGTAGTTAACTGTTTGATTGCCAACTGAAAGGTTGGAAGGTCAAACACACCAGTTGCTCCCCAGAATCTTCTGTAAAAATGTACAACAATGAATGAATGGAATTCCAAGTTCTTTATAAACTTTCATTAAAAGCTCAATAAAAAATTTAAAATAAAAAAAAAAAATTGCAGCCTTGGAGCAGTGCTACTGTGTTCTACATGATTGTTTGTCAATATTTACAAAGGGGACATTCCCTGTCTTGAGAAACGCCAATCTTTTGATTAGCAGCTGGACTAGTTGCTACTGTGCCACCAGGGCTCCTTTTAATCCTTACCACCATATAAAACTGCCATTTATCTTCATTGGACAGGCAAGGAAAACAGACTCAATAAGTAACATGTTCAGGTCACATAACTAAGTGGCAAAGTCTGTGTTGAACCTAGGACTGCTTTGACTTCATGAACCAGTGCTTCCTCCATACACTAAGAGATGTGCCAAGAAGCCCTATAATGGTGGCTTTGGGATACAAATCTATCTCAACTCACTTGGTTTTAATTTAGTTTTCTGAAGCATTACTAAATCACAATCAAAGGATACATGAAAATAATGTACAGATATGAATACTATTACTAGTAAGAATTTGTACTATGACTGCTTAGAAAAATTTCTCAGAATAAAAACGATTTGTTGAGAATAAATCATGTGATATACTGTTCCTTTTTTGCTTAGTCCACAGAGAGTTGCTATGCTTACTCAATGGCCATGCCTCATGCTGTTTGCATCTGCTAGGGGCTCAACAAAGAGAGCTAAGTAATCTCCTCCTGTGCTATTTACAGCCTCAGAAATCCAATGGAGGGTCACCTATGAGTTCTGAGAAACTCCTTTATGCAGCTTCTTAGGTTATAAATCACACAGAAGGAGACTGCCTCTCTTCTCTCCAGAGGAGCTGCTGGTGGATCTGCAAGGCAAAGCCTTCGGGTTGGCTGTGCAACTCCCTAAAGATACGCCATCAGCGCTTCCCCAAGTCATAAAAACAATTCTACAATTTATCATGTCGACCATGTACAAACTACAGAAACTAAGGTTTGAAGAAATTTATTAATTTGGTTGGTGTTAAAAATTTAATACATTGCAGAGCTGGAGCTTAAACTCAAGTCTGATTCCACAGATAATGATTATTCCCACCTAAAGGAATTTGTTTCAAGACATAGAATATGATAAGAAATCATCAGATGACTGACTTCAATTTAAAAAGTATATTTTCAATTTTTTACACTTTAATACTTTAGCCCCTTGAGTGTTTGCATACTTAAATCTTCTCACAGCTGATAATACAGCCATTTTATTCCATGACTTGTTATATACTGTCAAGTTGGAAACTACTCATAGCTGACCCTCCCCAAGTAGTAAACTGCAAAGGGGGAAGATAGCCATCTTTCTCTCATAGAACAGCTAATAAATTCCAAGTACAACTGCATGCCTTTTGTTTGGCATAGCAGCTCTTTAACAATAGGCTGCCATTCACTTTAAAATATTTACACAGTTGACTCAACACCTAAGAGGGGGAAAGGAAGCCATTAAATGTTACTGGTAATGTAATTTCTTATCCTCGCTGTTTAATACTTTTTTTAGGATGCAAGGCATTTTTCTAAAAATATCAAAGCCAAAACAGATTGCCTTTTTTTTTAAATTCCCATCAGTTCTAATTGGTCTTTTAGTGTGGTTGGTTTTAAAAAAAATCGTTTATGCGTGCATTCAATTAGCTCTTCTCTCTTTTATACTACCATCATCTCATGAGCATGTCTAAGTAATAAAATTATTTTTTTAAATATTTTTATTCATTATTGCACATTTTCTCCCTCACCTCCCGCCCTCAAGATAGAATGCTTTTGTTGATTCTAATATATATGTAGGACATCTACTAAACACAAAACATTGTGCTTATTAAGTTTTATAGTAATGAACAAAAAAAACAACACTATCCCTGTCAAATCCATGGATCTCAAGAACAGCTGGCCCCGTAAAGTGGAATGTTACTTATCAAAGTTAAGTCATCACAAAACTTTCTGTAATTGGATCTAATAAAATAAGTGTATTGGTTCCTATCAAAAGTAGTAACTGAAAATAATCTACCCACTTCTGAGATCCACTTTTTTAAAACCATTATTTCTAAAAAGAAAGATATAAAGTCACACTTTTATATTAATATTGTAAATTATAAGAGGGGGGGAAAAACACCTGGATTCCTTTTCTTTCAAGAGGAAAGACAAAATATTCCAGCTGATGATAGTATGCTAAGAGTAAGAAACAATACTACAACCTTATTCATAGAAAAGTTCTTTTAAAAAAATTGGAAAAACTCCATTCTCTATTATCCAAGTTAAAGATTAGTGATAATAAAAATGTCAATGATAAGATGATAGATGTCTGTAATGTGCTTCAAAATAACCTAAGGAGTTGTTTATATGTAAATTAAGCCAGAGTGTGCACTATGTCACAGGCTGACAGGTATATCTGAAAGTTCATTACACTATTTATATTTGGTACATGTTTAACATTTTCCTAATGAACATTTTTTAAATATAATGGCTCTTTGATACCTCCTATCAGTAATTCACTGTATGCAACCAAGTCTAGCACTTTTAATAGTTACCTTAATAAAGTTGTGCTATTTGATACAGATAAAATTCACTTGCAAGAGTATCCCAAATTCTGCTGCAAAGTACATAACAAATATAAAGTTTAACATGGAACACAAAGAGTAAAAAAATGTAGTCTTGATGCCAGAGAATTTCTGAATGGTTATTTGTATCTAAGGGATTTACAACGTTACAGTAAGTGCCATTTACAGGGAGTCTAATACATGCCAAGGCTTTTATAAACTATTCTAATCCTAAAAACTCATTTTAAGAAAAACAGTTCAGAGAGGTGACTGTACCTGTACACAAAAAAGCATTAACTGGAGAGCTGGAATGAAGGCCAACGTCTAACTTTAAAGTTTTTTAAACTCGTGCTCATTCATTCAACAGATCAGAAGCACCCACTATCTGGCAGGCACTGTTAAAGAGAGAAGGGCAATTACTATGTGCCACGGAATGTGCTAAGGGCTTTAACCAATTAATCCTCAGACAACTGTTGTTGTTGTTGTTGTTGATGTTGTGTAACACTGAGTCTGAACCACACTGGAACTGACTGACCCTCCAGTAGGTTTTCAGAGACAGGAAATCACAAGAGAAGAGATTGCTCATCTTTTTCTCTCGGTGCAGATGGTAGACTCAAAGCTTGTACCTCTGTGTTCATAACACAGTCCATTTACCACTAAGCTTCCCAAACTCTAGGTGCAATTATTCCCTTTATACACAGAGTCTGAGAGGTTAAGTAACTTTCTCAACGTCACTTAACTAGAAGCAGCCTTACTGGAGTGGGAACCCCCAGCAATAAAAATTCTCAGCACTGCATCTCAAACAATGGCCGAGTAAAAGGACATAAAAAGACTTAATTAAACACACACATATACACACACACACACACACACAAACCAACCCACAACCCTTAGAAAAGGTCAGGGGGCCAGGGGGCGTAGGTGCAGGAAGCTGGATGATATACTTTGCCAAGTCAAGGTTGCATTTAATAGTCCACTTGAATAAAACGAGTTGTGGGGTAGTAATGAAATGAGTAATAAACTCCACAAGATTTCTTAACTGGACTCTGATACTTGCTGTGGAAGTCAACTTGCCCAATTATAATCCCAATTTTACATGAAGCACCTCTACCATGCCTCCCCTGGGCTTGAGAGAATGAGGACGCTGAACTACGAAGTCGTAATAAACTGTCATCCAGTCTGAATACAGGAACACATGGATGAGACTGCAGCTGTATTTTAAATGGTCATGTTTCCCCTTTGAACCTAACTTTAATTCAGAAAATACCATCTACGGTGGACCAGCATGTCCTCGGGACCATCACTAACCAGCCACACAGGAACTTCCAGCCTCTAGTAAAGTCCAGGAAACTCAGTTTACCTCCAAGGACACTCACTGTGAGGTTCACAGTGAGGGAACGTGTGAGGACCCCCCGGGGCCGCGCAGGGCGAACAGTCGTCTACAAACCCTCCAAACACGCTCGCTTCCTTCCTCTTTTCACAAATCCTCGCAATGTCAAAACTTTCTCCGCATTTCTTGATGTCCCTCCGACTCGTGGCCGCGACAGGCCTCACAGGGTCCCCCCGAGAGCCGCCCCCGGTCACTGAAGCTGTGTGACCCCCACAAGAGCGGCGGGCCCGGTGAACCCTCGTCCAGTCGGGGTCCCGGGCGCGTCTCCCCACGAGCAAGGGCACGAGCCCCGGCGGAGCCGGCGAGCCTGGCGGTGCTGCCCGCCGTACCGAGAGAAGGGAGGGTGCCACGTCCGGGGGGCCGCCGGCTCGCGCGGAGGGACCCCGCGGCCGCAGAGCCGGGGAGCAGGGCCTGCACACGGGAGCTGGGTCCGGACCGGCCGAGGCCGGAACACACCCTTCCCGCACGCCGCGCAGGTCCCCGCCCGGGTGGGGATGCCGCTGACGAGGGTTCCCCACGCCCCGGGCCTGTCAGGCCGCGGCGCCCAACGCCGACTCCTGGCTCGCCGCAGCCTGGCAGGGCCTGAACCCGCGGCGGCGTCCCCGCCCCCGCCCGTCGGCAGCGCTGGGCGCCGAGGCCTCAGCCAGCCCGGCACTGCGGAAGGCCCGGGTTACCTGGGGGGTTGCTGGTGGCTGGGCAGCTTTCCGGGCGGGAGGGGGGCGTCAGGAAGAGGAAGAGGAGAGCGGACGCAGAGAGAGAGGAGGCGGGGGCGGAAGGCCCAGGCCCCGGTGAATTAGACGGGCTGGCCGAAGACGGAAAGACGCGGTGGCGGCAGTAGCGGTAGCAGGGGTGACTGCTCCTGCGGCTCCCTCAGGATCTTCCTCGGGCTGGTCCAAGATGGCGGCGCTCCCTACACAGGGTTTCCTGTCACCCTCGCAATGGGCCGGACCACAAAAGAAGGGGGGTGAAGGATGCGCGCGCAGCTGGCGGAGCCCGGAAGAAGGTGTCCGCGGCCCGGCCTGTTAGCCACGCCCCTTCCTCAGTCCTCCCCTTCGGACTCGTCGTGGCGCCGCCGAAATCCAGCCCCTTGGCCCTGAAGGGGCGGGGCAAAGAGCTCAGACGCAAGCGCGGTTGCCGGCCTCGCGTGCGCGGACGTCACTGCGCAAGTTCGTCCAGAGCTCGTGGGAGTCTGTCGGGATCTTGTAGAGTTACCACTGTCACCCTGGGGACTTTTTATTCTTTCTAATGCCAGCAACTACACTTGCTGGACGTTTACTATATGTCAGTCACTTTGGTAAGTATGCATTTCCTGCATTCATTGAACATGTGTTTACATTTCGTATAGAGTGGTGAATAAGACAGATTAGGTCAAGGCTCCAAGAGGCACGTATCCCCATTTTATCTGTGGCCAAACTGAGGCTTAAATTCTCCAAAGATACGCAACTAGAAAGTGACCCTTCCTGACTATTTCACCTTTGACCCGTAAGGGAGTGCTTTGACAGAGCGCTTTTGACAGGGAATAGTGGCGACATTTTTTCACACTGTGTTCACCACCTCTCTTTTTGCCATTAAGTCAGAGCTGACACTCATCCATTGGGTTTCTGAGGCGGTAAATCACACAGTAGAAGATGGCACATTTTTATCCTGTGGGTTCTAACTGCCAGAGAGGCATGGCATATGGATTAGCAGCCCAACTCAGTAAGGGCCAAACTACCAGAGCTCCCTATCCAACCCTTTACATTTAATCATTTGATCTACCTTCTATCATCCTTGAAAAATTTTAGGGCAAAGGCCTCCATTATGGATTTTGTGAGCCCTGGAACACGCGCGTGCATGCGCGCGCGCACACACACACACACACACACACACACACACACACTCGTGCCAATATAAAAAGGAATGGTGTTAAGTGCCCTCTAGTCAGGTGCAAGGAAGCACTGGTGGTCTAGTGGCAAAAAGCTGCGCTGCTATTCCGAAGACACATGGTTCAAATCCACGAGCGCTCTGTGGGAGAAGGGTGAACCTGTGAAAACCGCCTGGAGTGTCAGCTTTCGACTGATAGGTCAATTTTGACTCAACAATACACAACAACAACAGTTGACTGCAACTCATAGAAACCCAATGAACAATAGATCTGAACCCTGTCCTATGCCATCCTGACCATCTCTGACATACTCAAGCCCACGGTTACAGTTACTGTGTCAATCCATCTCCCTGAGGGTCTTCCACTCTCCACTTTTCCAAGTATGATGTCCTTTCCCAAGGACTAACCCTCCCCAACATGCCCAAAGTATTTAAGGTGAATTTTCACTACCGTTGCCTTCAAGAAGCACCCTGGCTTGCGCCTTTTCCAAGATACATTTGTTCTTTTGGGAATCCATGGGATATTCAGTACTCTTCTCCAACACAACTCAAAGGCATTGATTCTTCTTCTGTCACCCTTATTCACTGTCCAACTTTCAGATGCATAGCAAGTAACTGAAAAGATTATGGTTTGGATCCGGCGAACCTTTGTCTTCAAACTGACGTCATTGCTCCTCAGCACTTTGGAGAGGTTCCTGGCAGCAGACTTTCCTAATGCAGTATCTCTTTTGATTTCTTGGCTGGTGATGCCAAGGGTGTTGGTTGCAGATTCAAGCAAGACTTAATTATTGACCATTTCTATCTCTTCATTTGTCATGGTGTTGCCTTTAACCTAGGGGTGAGGATTTTTTTGATGTTAAGATGTAACCCATGTTGTTAGTTGTAGTCTTTCATCCTCTACAGCAAGCAGTTCAAGTGCTCCTCACTTTGAGCAAACAAGGTTGTATCATCTACATAAAAAAGCTTGCTCATGAGTACTTCCTCTGCTCCTGATGTCACCTTCTTCTTCGTGCAGTTCAGCTTCATAAATTATTTGTTCTGTACACAGATTGAATACATATGGAGAAAGAATACAGCTCTAATAAATGTCTCTCCTGATTTTAAACCATGCAGTGTTCCCTTACTATGTTCATATGACAGCTTGGTCTAGGCATAAGTTTCACATAAGCACAATTAGGAGTTTTAGCATTCCCATTCTTTTATTTATTTTTTTTTTTTTGCCTGAGAAGCAAGCTTTATTCAAAAGAGGTTGAAGAACAAATGGCAGCTGCCCCGGCCCGCAGGGACATTCAACGGTGACCCTAGGAGGGGAAGAAAGAGAATGGGGGGACAGGAGGCACAAAAGCAGATAGACAAGTTGAAATCTCCAATCAAGTCTTCCATTTATTGAAAGTACTCACAGTATATATATAGGAGCACAATGGGGGAAGGAGAAGTACGCAGTGGGGGAGAATAACATGTCATTTCCAGTGAGTTGAAAGTTATCTGGTAGACAGAAACTTAGCAGGGCATTCCCAGTAAACCGAAACCTATCCTCCCAGGGTGGGGCAACGTGTCCAGACATGTCCTTAGAGAATTACAAAATGGCTTCAGCTAGGTTGAACTAGCAGTCTCCAACAGATCCTCCCTGTTTTTTATAATTATTTGAAGACTGCAAAAGCACAACAGGATTACCTTTGGTGGTCTCCTATTTGACCAGGTATGAAACCAGTGCCTGTCTTAGGTTGGACACCGCACCTACTGATCTTACCCGTCATGGGCTAACCCAGCAGCTACAGTGGGGCGCCTGTCCAGTGTCTCTTACCCATCTCTGGCTGCCCAGTTCATTAGCCTGTATCATCAAAGATTTTCTTTATCAGCCATTTGCAGTCTTCGATAATGGACTTGTATGGGACTGGAGGCTTGATAAAGCCTGCTGCTTGATAAACTGTATAAGCCTCTGAATTGCCCAGGGGCCAAAAGAAATAAGCAAAAGAAAGCCTATTAAGGGCCTCCAAAAGGAGTGACTGGTCTTTGACCACGTCCCCTTAACTTTTAGGCCATAATTGATTGATTATACATTCTTTTGCTTTAAATTTTTTGTCACAATATGCACTAACCCAATTAAAAACTTAGCCATGTGGACTTCTTGTGTTGAAGCTACACCAGAAGTAGAGATGGCCATCATAGGGATAAGAGAAACAATTTCTACAATAACAAGTCCTACAAGTCTCTTGGTTCTTAATGATAACTTATATAACTGTTTTAAAATTTGCAAGCATTATTATCATACCAAATATCATTTAACTTTACCAAAGTCATAACAAGAGGAGGATTCTTTAGAATAACAACTGAATCATCCTTGGTAACAGAGTTAATATAGTTAGAAATTTTACGGGAACAACTTACATTAAATTTGGGGTAATCACCCGTGATTACATTATTACCAATTAATAAGACATATGGTTCAGGACTTTGGCATTTGTGACAATATCTCCCTTACATTTATCTTTTGGTATACAGAAAATATTTATAGATCCCATACTAGCAACTAATTTTCATAATTCAGTTTAAAAATTCTTCATATCAATACTCCAGATTTCTTCTACTGATCCTTAGCTTCGACTTTATTTGATGGAGCCCAATCATACAAATTCAAATCTGCAGTACCGTTTTTCTCCAGCTGAGAGGGTGAAGTAAAGATAGATCTGGAACATATGTCCTTTACGATTCAGCTTGAATCCTCATTGTCAGAGTCAGCAATATCACCATCTTTATTTCTGTCAGGCAAGACATCTTCTGCAGAGCGAACCAAACTTTTCAGGAAGGCACTTTGCACTTTCAGAATTCTGTGGAAAAACACAAACATAGCCTTGACCCCATATTAACACAGGGTCAGGTCTTTTTCATTGCTTTGTTAATGCATCCTTCTATTTAATTTCAGTATACGTTTACTGTATGTATCACCATTGTCCGTCAGCAGCAGACCTTTTATAGTCATCCAAAATTAAAAATTTAAAATAAATTGTAAGTGAGAAATATAATTATTTGAATTTAGGGGGTATAGTATTCCAATAATCCCCCCTTTTTTATTTAAATAATTTTTGATAGTAGAAAGAGTACATTCTATAATACCTTGTTTTTGAGGATTGTAAGAAAACTCAGTTTTATGACAAATAGTAAAATATTTACAAAAATTTTGAAAACTCTTGCTGGTATAGCTAGGAGCATTATTAGTCTAGACTGTTTTAGGAATTTCTAATATAGAAAAAGCTAATAAACAATGTTTTATAACATATTTAGTTGCTTTTTCAGATAAACAAAATATTACCACAAAACTGGAACTGATA